CACTCCCCTTTTGCTCCTCTTTTATTCCCTCTGGGAGGGGCCATTCACCATTCACCTGTGGCCTTATTCCCAAGTCAACTCCTGTTCCTTAGCTGTACCCTTCGTCGGGTGACTCTGTGCATGCACACACTGGGAACAGGCTCCAGCTGTTCTTCTGCCTCACTGATGTCTGACTCTGAAGGCCGCTGATACCTGTCAGACGGCCCTGGCCCCCTCTCTGCCTCCAACACAGAGCCCTCCTCAGAGCCTTCCCCAGACTCCAGGACTGGCCCATCTTCCTCCCCAACCTCCCCACTGTCCGAATCTGCTGCCATCTCCACTGGTGGGCCACAACATCCGCCAGTGCCCCCCCTCCCACACTGTAACTGAGACAACAATGCTGCTGCCATCCAGATCTTATACCTCTGTGATCACCCTCTGAAAATACTTACAAGGTTGAATGCGGTTCTATATTTAAAAATGAACTGGCGTGCACGAGAAGTCACGGCTGACAAAGGCAGGAAACTCAATGGCACTAAACCAGATTTGAGGAGGGAAAATTTCAATCAGGGTGTTTGAGCGGGGGGACGGAAATCAATTTGCTGGGTTTAAAGCATGTTGCACAAACGTAACCACGGCTAAGGCTGTGTTAGCCCTATCATGTGAACTCGGCTGGTTGTGGCTTTTCCCATGGAACAGGATGAAGCAACGCTTGGCACAGGGCAGAAACTTTGCAAGCCTGCGAGAAATTTGCAGGCAGGAAGTGAATAATTTATTTGAGACCGGAAAAGACACGAAGAGCCGGTTTGGTGTCTGCGCTTCAGGGCCCCCTGGGGGCTAGAAACTAGGAGACTAGGAGCTCTAGTCTTGCCTGAGATACAAAGGCAGCTGGGGGAACCTCGGGCCAGTCACTTTCTCCCAGCCCTAGGAAGCAGGCAATGGCATCTGAGTTCTTGCCAAGAAAATTGCAGGCATGTGTCTTCAGGAGAGAGGCTCAAAAGCAGAAAAAGGAGAAGAAAACATGCTTCTTGCATTAGCAACAATAAGACTAAAATGACATTTATGTCAAAAAAAATTGGTTTTTTCTTTTTTCTTTAATAGTAACAGTTCCAGAGCTAATCCTGGGCAGGAAATTCTGCCTCATTGCTGAAAGAGGCCAAACATATTTTTTACGTTCCAGGCGGAATGGAATTTCTTTCAAACCGGCTCGGTTCAAAGCAAGCATTTCTCATTCCCTTAGTTTGGTTGAATCCCCAGCAAAAATATTTTTGCCAGAAAATTATAGGAAAGAAAATGTATATCTGATTCTCCGTGTAATAACAGCAGCTAGGATTGTATTTGCACAAGGCTGGAAAAGTGAGGAGATTCCTACGGTTGAGAAGGTGATCAGGAAAATATTAGAAAGGTGCAGAAATGAATAGGTTAACACATGCAATTAAAGAGAAGGAACAAACTAAATATTATATCATATGGGAACTATTCTACCAATGGTTAGAGAACAAAGGTGAATGTTAGAAATGAAAGTAGATTAGCGAAATATAGAAAATATATAGAATTGAATAAATTAAGAAGAGGATTGTCATGGGAAGGGACATGATGGCTTAGTGGCTAAGATGCTGAGCTTGTCAATCAGAAAGGTTGGCAATTCGGTGGTTCGAATCCCTGGTTCCATATAACGGAGTGAGCTCCTGTTACTTGCCCCAGCTTTGCCAACTTAGCAGTTGAAAAGCATGTTAAAAATGCAAGTAGAAAAATAGGAACCACCTTTGGTGGGAAGGGAACAGCGTTCCGTGCGCCTTCAGCATTGAGTCATGCTGGCCACATGACCACGGAGGCGTCTTCGGACAGCGCTGGCTCTTTGGCTTTGGAACGGAGATGAGCACCGCCCCCTAGAGTTGGGAACGACTGGCACATATGTGCGAGGGGAACCTTCAGCGTTACCTATTAAGTCATGAGTAGATAAATAATGAATATGGTTGTAAATGCTAATTGTTATTGCACAAGATATTTGTGCCCAGACGACACGCTGTTTAATGCAAGATGGATTGTTTGAATTTTTTTTTAAAAAAGTGTGGTTGAATCTCAGCTAAGGCTGCAACTGCAGTGGTCTTTTTAAAAAAAATAATAATTTTATTTAACAGTCTTTGACTGTTTATTTTCTTCGACTTCTCCTTAGTCCAGCCTCTGTGTGACTTTTTCATC